ATTTTCTGGAATTCTGTTTGAGTTGCCTGAGGTGGAATATGCTATTGTGATGTAGAATCTCTATGCTAGTCATGCACGAAGTGTGTGCACGCACTTTTTAGAGCGATTAACAGCGCATCACGTGCTCTCTTTTGACTTATCATGGTGACAGCTACGAACAGCGACTGGATGGCTACTATTGGAACGCTTATCCAAGAGAATCAAAAGCTACTCTCTGCCTTACAACGGGACACAACTAACAAAAAACCAGGAGGCAAGAAGCACCGCAGCGTTAATCTCAGAATCAATCAGCACTGGCGTTAGCCTTCCCCCATGACCCGAAACGGAATTGGAAACAGACGAATGGATCTCCGATGCCATAGAACGGTATAGTCATATCCCAGAAGCGCTTCTCCGCAAAATAGGACTGGGAGAAGCCACGGACATCGACGAAGCACACAGAAGGTACATGGTATCCAAGTGATATCCAAAAACTGGCGCGCTTTATCTTCCGGAAAGTCCAGTACCGACGAGTGTCGGCAAAGCCTTCATTGACACAGAACCATTTCTGCCCGTGGCAGACGTGGAACCCGTCCAGCTGGAACTTACGGACCCGACAATGCGACCTATCGCGAAATGGTATTATCATTCCGTCAACGTCACCCTGGGTGTTTACGCCGCGACTAGCACCGAATAAGCCGTTGCGGTAATTATGTGCCATTGAATTCACACCTGGTTGGGAATAGTTACCCTCTTCCAAACATACAGGACACATTGCAGCGGATCGCTCAAGATCGATATTTTGCCAAAGTTGACCCGACCAAATCTTTTTGGCAACTACCACTCGCACCCAAGAACCGACCGTCTTTTATGGGGTTAGAGGTTTCTATAAATACACGCGCTTACCGTTTGGACTGAAGACGCTGGGGGCATCTCCGGCTCAAATCCTGTTTGCTGAAACTATGGATGAACCCAAAATCACGATCGAGCTATTAGAGGATGAAACGAGGCGCACTCCTACGACGAAGGGCATAAGTGCACGCGGCAGGCCACAAGACGATCACAAGTGGGATGCCCCCACACGCATGATGATGATGATCATCATCATCACACACAGCGCCACAGGTAACAGTGCACACACGCTGGATTCGGATTCAAGTTCCGATAGCACAGATACAGCGCAGGAAGGACATTGGGTGAAGCAGTCCCAAACGTCCACGTCCGATGGGCCCACAATTCCAAAAGTGTGTGCGCACACTTTTGGTATGCGCGGAGTATCCGATTCTACGTAATGCCTTTTTTCCGGGCGGACAATAGTTGGTCGGTGGGCAGGTGTCCGCCGTCGCCTTCTGATTTATTGTATGAGGTCCACGTGTTCGGGGTCATCAATGGTCGGAATCGGATGTAAGCGTGGTAATTTGTTTGGTGGGTCGTTGCAGTGAGATGTCGGAGGAGTTGGAAGGAATGCCGAAGGGTGGTCCGCCTACAGCTGTGAAGCTAAATCCATGAAGTGGAAAGACCTTAAGGTGGTGACACCGGTGCCAAAGGGTTTCCAGGAGACCGTAGCATAGGGAGTGAATAGCCTGCAGCCAGCTGTCAGGCAAGTCTCGGACGATAGTCTCGGACGAATCGCCGCAGGTCCATAGAGTCGCTGTACCAATTTGTTCGATAACGTCGTTGTAAACATACACACGGACAACACCAAGCAAGTCTTGAAGCTGTGCGCGGGCTAAAAGAATGATAGGAGAGTTTATTTCCGATCTTAGCGCGCGATCTCAGTTCCCCGGCGGCAACGGGTGCAGGTGCAAAATCCATAATGCCGGCCGTGCGATGGAGTGAGCAGCTAAAGGCGGTGCGTCGTTTGTCGTTGTGGACGTGGTCGGTGGTCTCGTTAGGATGTGTCATTTTGTGTATGGAGAGTTCCTTGATGGCCAGTGGCTGTGACGTGAGTGCCTTGACCACCTTGGCGCTCTTGGGAGCGTTCTGCGATTGGTTCCCTCAAGTGTCATCTCTGGCTGTGCTCGCACTCGCCGGCTTCACGCTTCCTCTCGTGAATCACAAAGTAGCACTCTACTCCCAGGCGCGCGCACTGTGGCAGGAAACTGTCGATCTCGCAAACCTCCCGCTCCTTGACATGCTTGCCGACGACGCTGACTTCAGAGCCACTCTGCCAACCACAGGACCTCTGACCGGCACTCTCGGGGGTATTCCAGGGGATCCCCCGCTCATGTTTGAAATAGACCAAGCTGCCGACCAAGCTCCCGACCAAACTGGCGACCGTGCCAGTCCCACTGGCGCCGCACCCGGCCCCACGGGTGCCGGCCCCACGGGTGCTGGTCCCACTGGCGCTGAAAAGGATGTCATGGCGCTGCCGGAGCCCGTCGTGAAACACCCGCTTATCGATGCAGTCAAGATCCAGAACACCCCCGTTCGAGTCGACCCGTTGACACTAGCACACCCGAGGTCGTTCACACGACCGCCGACAACGCGACCCTTCTCCGTGTCTATGGCTACTAGAGAAAAGGCAGCTGGAGGAGGACGGGTGGCTAACGGCCAAGGAGGGAATCACGACTTGAGACCTGTGTTCATCGCCAACATGACTGCTGAGCGCGTCCGTTCCAGCGGTCAAGCAACGGCCTCACGTCCGGTGAAACGAACCGTGGGCACCAAGCCTGTGCGGAAACCCGCAGCACCGGCTCCCACCGTATCAGACGGGGAAGCGACGACTCTCGAGGGATTCGTGGATAACGACTCGAGCGGAGTCGAGCAAAGCCCGAAAATGCTTCAATCCAAGTTATCGTCGACTTCCAATCCGTCGTTAATTAGTGGGTCGCCGGAGACCGGGCATTTAGAAGAAAACGAAAGAGAGGAGGGGTACTTGGAGAGTGAGGAGGAGCAACTCGAAAGAGATGAGGAAGTGATGACGATGGTTAAGGAGCCGATCGTGTTTTCGTGGGCAGAGCACTTCGGGCCGCGACGTGTTTTCGAGGGTGCGGAGGTGACTTTTTCGAAGGGGCGTTTCCCGGATGTTGCGTCGGCCGAGGCTGTGTCGTCGTTGCCGGATCCGCCGGAGCCGTTATGGCGTCGACGTACCGAGTTCTCGGGTGTGAATGGATTGTACAAAACTCTTTTGCGCGTGGCGGAGGGTAGCCCCGAGATTCGGCACATCGCGCTTTCCACGAATCCCATTTTGGATGTGCTGGACCTAGTCGACTCGCTGCCGGATCAACAACGCCGGCAGCGGCTCCGAAGAGTATTCGACCTCTACAAACTCTCACCCCTCATTCAACTCGGGGTACAACCAGCCATCCCGTTTCCGGTAAGCGCCGGAAACAAGCAGCCCTCAAACCTGTCGGAAGAGCGGCATGGACGGAGCAAGGTGTTTGTTTATGACCCTTGGGGTGCGGCGACGTTTGTGGGAGCGTTGATGGCGTCCAGCAGCGCTGAATTCGATCGTCTGGCCGCTCTCGTGCGCCGCAGTCAGTTCATGACCCTGCTTTCCGAAGACGAGGTCCGCATCGCTGCAACGCTCCTCGAACGCATTGCCACTGTCGCCCTAGAGCACCCCGTCGCCCGCAATACCACATTCGAGTTCGTCGTCTCCGGCAGACCCATTCAGGAAGCGCCTCAGACACTCACCAACCTTCTCAAACAATTCGAATCCACCACTGACCGTATCAACACTGACCGTATCAACACTGACCGTATCAACACTGACCGTATCAACACTGACCGACTCAACACTCACGGAAGAAAACCGCTAGAACATATTCGCACCCTAGAACACACGTTCGATTACACGTTCGAACACATCCCCGCATACCAGCACACACGTATCTTACAGGAACGAGAAAGCACACCCGAACGAGGCTCTTATTCCGAGCAATCGCGAGGTGTCTCGTTCGAAGAACCACCCGAACGTGATGCATCCTCTGAACGTGATGCATCCTCTGAACGTGATGCATACTCTGAACGTGACGCATCCCCCGAGCGAGACACATCCTCTGGGCAAGACGCATTTTCAGACAGTCCGTCCCCGTCATCGCTCAGCCAACTTAGTGGAAGTTTACGGGACGGCTTTCCGGACACATTTTCTGGAGCACGGAACGAGGGAGCAAGTGGACTAGGTGTGTCTAGTGAGGCAAGGAGATCTCCCTCCTCGTCGAGCTATGCTGTTCGACGCGGGCCCGTGGAAGTGACTGTTACAATCAACGTTACACGCTGGCCCTCAGGTCAAACCGACGGACTGGGAGGTCAAATTCGTTTCGGTCAAACTCGTCCTAACCCAGGTCCGGTGATGACAGTGCCGAGTAGAGCTGGTCCAAATGGTCATTGGTCAAGTTCCCACAATGAGTCAATCCCAAGTGGTGAGTCAGGCGGTCCATTGTGGTTGAGTGATGTACCGAGCATTGTTCCTCGTGCAGCATCGACAGCTTTTTCCGTTCACAAATGGCGGACAATGGCCCCCGTCTTTGCGGATATGAAATCAGCTGCCATTTCCATCGACCAGAACGTGGCCTGGCAGACCGACCGGCTGCTTGAGTTCAGCAATCTTCTTAAACGGAGATATAAAACACTTGTGCTTGTCCGAGTCTGTGTCGCAGGCTGGCTCCTCTGGGCCCTCTTCGATCTCGTGTGCATGAAATACATCTAACTGGGCATAGTGATGGCACAACAGAGTGATGGCACAACAGAGGATCAGATACAGAGGACCAGAGACACGCAAATACGATTATGTGCTATCAGAGACAAGCCACTCACACTCCAAGCGGGCTGTGTGATAAGATTCAACTACCCAGTCATGCGCCAGTTACTGGCACCGTCCGGTTCCGCAACACAATCCCTTAAGTGGTACCGTCGCCCCCTTCAGTGGTACCGTCAGCCCCTTCAGTGGTGCCGTCGCCCCCTTCAGTGGCACCGTCCGGTTCCGCAACACAATCCCTTCAGTGGTAGCGTCGCCCCCTTCAGTGGTAGCGTCGCCCCTTTCAGTGGTAGCATCGTCCGGTTGAGGTGCTACTCAGATAATAGGCCCGAGCATCTTGTCTATGAATTCCTTGAGGTGGTTGTTAGGCCTTGGCTTGTCTGTTTGGATTGGCAAAAGTTTATAAGCCGGTTCCAATTTGGATCTACAGCTTGGACAATTTAGTTTCATTTTGCAACAGAGTGTCAGACATGGTGTGCACAGGTAGTGACCGCAAGGAGGCACACGGAGCTCGTAAGTTTCGTCCATTTTATTTTGCACAGATTGCGGAGTCTCGCAAATTTGGAGGTAGCAAATTGGACAGGATAATCCGTGAATTAAATCCGCTGCGGATTTAGGCGCCACCATGTTCATGTTCTTCCCGATCTTCATTTTTGTGAAGTGTCGCCTTTGTTCAATGTCGCGCCGAACCAACACTCGTGCTAGTTTTCGAGCAGAGTCATCCTCGCCAGCTTCGGGGCAACTCCCCTTTTCGGGGCAACTACTCTTTTCTCCGCTTTCAACACTTCCCGTACTCTGTCGGTCAACCATTGGTCGGTCAACCATTGGTCGGTCAACCATTGGTCGGTCAACCATTGGTCGGTCAACCATCGGTCGGTCAACCACACCCAACGCCCCAACGCCGGCTACTGCGCCGAACCCCGGAACGACCGCAGGGCCGGACACAGTGTAGTCGGTAATGACGGTGAACGTCCAGTGCGCCATGTCCTGAAAGGCGCTGTCCCTCAGCTCTAAAATGTCTCTTGTCTTGGAAAATGTGTCCTGGTCAAAGGTATAACGATCTCGAATCCATTGCACGTCCGGCAGATTCGGGATAGTGTAGCTTCCGACCTCGCTGAAGCAACGAACGACGTATCGGACGTCCACCGTCCTCACACTCAACCCCTGAATTTCTACTGAATTTCGGCGGTCCACTTTCGGAGGAGGCCGGGAACGTCTTTTCCGTTCAGATTTTTCCACCACCATCGCAACCTCCCGATTGATAGCTTCGCCCTCTGTCCAATCACTCCTTCCGCCCTCTGTCCAATCACTCCTTCCGCCTTCTGCGTCAACCACTTCGCCCTTTATATCGACCACTTCACCTTTTATATCGACCACTTCGCCCTTTATATCGACCACTTCGCCCTTTATATCGGCTGCTTCGCCCTTTATATCGACTGCTTCGCTCCTTATATCGACCGCTTCCGATTTCTTCGCTCCCACTTGAGTCGCTCCCACTTGGGTCGTTTCCTTGTCTGTGTCACTGTCCGCAATCACCACAAAGTGGGCCGCTACGTCATCGTCAAGGTTGATGACGGCGGGAGGTCGTGCAGTCGTGGGAGCGTGTCTTTGCCGTAGCGTCCTGGGATCGAACGCTTTCGACGCGCGTCGTTTCTTCATCCGCCCGGCCGGGACGACCTCAATGGCCGGACACAGTTGCGCGAAGACGTAAAAGGCGTCGTCCGCTGAGGCATCCGCCCCCACGAGCCTTCGCGCATCCACTACGGCGCGGTAGCACGCGCGCCAGAAGTACTCCAAAGCACTGTCCACAAACTCGGGACAAGGAGTGACTATCGGCGACTCTGTTTCGGTTACAACCACGGCTCCCGAACTGTCCGTGGTTTTAACAACCCGGGTGCCCGACGCTCGTGTGCCCGTCGCCCGCGGGCCCCCCTTTGACCCGCTCCCCGCTCTGCCATGTGCCGCAGCACACACGTGCGTCGGAGTGCTCGCACCCGACAACTCACGACCCGACATCTCGTCGACCGGGGTAGACCGGTGAACTGCAGCCTCATGCCGGAGTGGTCGGTACTGCTCACGGTAGGGGGAGTCGAATCGGAGGTCATACGAACGGGCTTGTCGCCAGTCGTCTTCGTACACAGCGTAGTACACACTGTCGTCATTGTAGATGTCATGACTGGAGTCGGTTAAGTTGATAGGAACGACGGAACTCAGGGTGTCTATCGAGTAGAGGACTTCCACTTGGTCGCTCAAGTCGGCCACCTGGTCGCTCAAGTCCGTGACCGGGGTGAATTCATATGGGCTGTCGTAGTCTTGGTCGTAGTCTCGGCCTTGGTCGTAGTCTCGGCCTTGGTCGTAGTCTCGGCCTTGGTCGTAGCACCCTCGGTCTTCCCCTTGCCCGGCCCCGTGGCCTCCTCCTTGGTCGGGAACGTTTTCCATGCGGCGCTACGTCTCTTTTAGGCGATGGCAGAAGTTATTTCGGTAGAGCAACGAATATTTAAACTCCTGGGTCACCCGAACTAGGACTTGCTCATTCAACCGCACTTGCTCATTCAACCGCACTGTGATACAGGACGCAGAAAATCCAATACAGACCGCCTAATACTTACTTGCCTAATACTTACTTGACTACTATTGCGGCGTACTACGCTTTGCTTTACTGCTGACTTTTGTGCACAGTCACTGACAGACAGTTCGGTCAAGGATGGTCGTCACAAGTAGTGCTCCGATGACGTCTGTGGAGGACACGTCGATTAAGCAGTGGAAGTCCAGTCGGAAGACGCCGGAGATGGCGGAGGCGGTGAAGTCGGTGTATGCGGAGATTGCCGAGTCGATGCCGTTGCAAAAGAAGAAGTTTGAAGAAGGGGTGCTTTCTAAGATGACGGAGGATGAGAAGAAGGGTATTGAGGAGTCTTTAAATAGGTTGGGTTTGACATTCGACTTTACGTTATGTCATGTGCGATACTTACCTGATTTCAAGCCAATTGAATTGGACTTTACGGTTTGTTATGTTCGACATGGGAAGACAGAAGGGAATACAGAGCCGCGCATTTTCCAAGGGTATTGCGACTATTGGGAGAATCAGTTGAACGCTACGGGTAAGAAGCAAGCGGAGGAGGCTGCGAAAAAGATGGAGTCTACCTTGACAACGTTTAAGCCTGATTTAATTTTGTGTTCGCCTCTTGGACGCGCGATTGAAACGGGTGCGGCATTCTTTAACAAACACCCGGAGATCCCGACTAGGGTGCATTATGGTGCTCGAGAACAGCAATTTGGCAACTGGGATAACGTACAAGTACAGCACCTTCCCAAGGATGACATCTGTCATTTATTTTACCTGGAGCAGAATGCGCTAGTTAAGGCACCTCAGCCACATGTACTCTTCGATGGCACTATCCGTCAAGAATATGACAGTGAAAACTTCGTCGACCTACTGCTACGGGAAGCCGAATTCCTCCGTTCTGTCAACAACGAAGCCGAAGTCAAAAAAGCTAAAACTAAAGGACGACTGGCGAACGTCCTTATATACGGACATTCTATGGCCGGGGCCGCCATCAGCACACTCCTTGGCCATGGTAAGACCTTCAATGAACAAGGCAGCATCGGCTTCGATGGCAAATATATCATGCCCAACGCTACACCCACTATGCTCCCTGCCCAAACGCCTGAAGTTAATCGGAAGTAATACATCGTTAATCAGTCGACAATGACCAAGTAGGTCGTAGATAAAACGCATGTCGATCAACAAGTAATTAGCGATCAGTAATATTAGCGAACAATTAAACCTAACTATTAATATTGAATTACATGCAAGGGCTCCATTACATAAAAGGACGGGAAGAAAAGATGGCAGTTCGCGGTGAATCTTGGTCGTGGGCAGAATTGTTATTGGGGTAGCGCACACGCGTGTGCCAAACACGCCGCAGCCGCAAACACGTGCGCGTCGAACACCTGCGGCCAGCGCCGGCTGGCCATGACGCGAAGTTTGATAAGTTTTGCTTGCGAGCGTTGTGGTGTTGAGGTAGAGAAGTCGAAGCGGACGAAAATCAAGTTGTGTGCGTTTTGCGGTGCACTGGCTAGGAAGGAGCGGATCTTGGACCGCTGTCCGAGTTGTGGTCAGGAAGTGTGGCGTGACCGTAAGCGGAGCCGGTCTTGTAATGGTTGTATCCGGCGCAGACGGTTGTCGGTTACGACTACGGCTTCGTCCGATTTGGGAGATACACCCACAAAGGAAAAGCAGATGGAAAAACTGCCCAGCCTCCACCTCGAAGAAGAACCCTGCTTCGCCTTAGCCTCCTCGGGTCTACCGACTCTCTCCGACCGCGGTCTCTCCGACCGCGGTCTCTCCGACCTGAACACGCCCTTAGACCATTTTGAACCGGACCAACCACAACCACAGGCACCACCCGGCCGTCTGGTCGAACAACTCTCAGCCGACCAACTCTCTGCCGAAGCGGCAGCACTCGAAATGCTCCCAGTCTTCGAACTGCCGCCTGGATTCGAACCACCACCCGAACGAATCACTGAATACTGGCCCGTCGCAGAATCCTTCGACGCTACCACTTTTTAATTCATGGCTGTCGACCTCCAACATCACTCACCGACCCAACAGGAACCGGAACCTGGCCAGGTTCCTGGTCAGATGAAAACCGACCGGACGGAGCTTGAGCCGAGCCAGGCGGCACTGGATAGAGGCCAGATAGAGGCAGCTGGAGACCCGTATCGAGATGGGGGCTTTGTGATGATACCCAGCGCATCAGGACAGAACTCACTCGCCGCGGAACTGACGAGGTGTTCGAACTCGAAGTGTATGAACCACCAGCACGAAGCACCCACCCTGCCAACTTTCACATTCGGTACCCCAACACGGGTCCCGTGCACAACACTGGTCACCTCGCGTGTGTTCAGTCGGTGGTGAAGATTGGATGGTGTTGTGTCACGGATTGATGGCCCATCGGAACATCCGGAGTTTCCAGACGTTGGTGAAGCACTCGCCGATAAATACGTTGGCGTTCGACTTTCACTGCAACGGACAGTCGACGGGTGCGAAAGAGGACTGGTCGTTGGGCGGTTATCAGCGTGAGGCGTACGACGACTTGGAAGGCGTAGTTCGGTGGATCGAGTCCCGTGGCGGACGTGTTCTTATTATCCTCGGCCATTCACGGGGTGCGAGTGTGGTCTTGATGCACAGCATGGAGTTCGACCATGTGCCCTACGTCCTCAGTCTCGCCGCACGATTCGACCCGAGCACGGGGCTCGACCCATACTTCAAGCCGGGCGACCGGGAACGGTTACTCAACGGTGAAGTGCATGTGGTCGAGTGCCAGAAACAGTTCAGTGATGGAATCCCGCGTTTCATCTCAGCCAAGTGTCTCAAGCAACGACTCGCAATCGACATGAGCAAGCTACGCGATCTCACACACACTAAGGCAATCTTCTTCGTCCATGGCGCCAGTGATGAAACTATTCCCCCTTCGCACGCCCTCCTCCTCGCTGCCACACTCGCAGGCAAAGAGACGCCGGGCTTGACTGACGGTGACTTGAGCGATTCCGTACTAGCTCAGTCCGATCTTACCGAAGTTACCAACCCCGCCGGAGTCAAAGGCTTCGTCAAAATCGTTGGCGATGCCAACCACTCACTCAAGAGTCCACATGGGAAAAAAGGCTTCGAACCCCTGCTCGAACTTATGAGCGTCATTTATGACCAAATCCGAATGATTGAAAACTGCAGCATGTGCTTGCACACCGCGCCTCACATGCCGTGATTGTGCTAACCAAACCCATTTGAAACAACCAACTATATAGCATTTACGAACACGCTCTCCGTGCGAGCTACCCACACGTGTGCCCATGTGGTGTCAGTCTGTGTGTCACATGGGCAGCTCTGCCTGTGTGCTATTTGAGGTCAGAGCTACTTCGCGGCAGAGCTACCTGATGGTAGGTGTGCGTGACGGTATGCTTTGCGGAAGGTCGTTTATAACTTCTTTTTATCACTGAATTCTGTCGCCCGTCGTGACCTCTTCATGCTGAATGCAGCGCAGGCTGCTCCGATGGCCATTCCGGCGGAGAGACCCATAAAGACGAAGGCGACAGCAGCGGCAAGTCGTTGTGTGTAGACGTGTTCCATGTCTTGTACGAAGTGTGCGAAGTTTCTGCGAATGAGGTCTAGTTTGGTTAATGGTTTAGGAATGGATTCGGCCTTCATTTTTTGGTAGTCCGATCTGGCGAATTGTTCGAGCGCTTCGAGAGTTCTGGGTCCTGAGTGTCGGTACATCTTTTCGTCCTTGAAGTAGATGAGAGTAGGGTAGCCGGCAATCTTGAATCGTTCGGCGAGCATTTTGTTCTTAGTGGCATCAACACTAGCCACATTCACCTCATTGGTAAGGGCATCTGCGAGTTCATTCCACGCCGTTTCCATACGCCGACAATGGCCGCACCAGGGCGCGTAAAATTTCACGAACCAGGGGCCTGTTGTACCATGGGTCCCGACTTGGGTGTCATGATCGAAACTCACATCTGTCAGCTCCAGTGGTAAACCCAGGACACACCCGAACAAACCGACAAGCAACCACAACAACGTCCGCATAACTTAAAAAAATGTATAGTAGTGGGGGGAATAAATCCAAGAGCGCCTCCTCAAGGAATGCCTCCTTCTCTCTTCAGATCAGCACTTGGAATAATGAGGGCGCCGCCTTATTCGACTACGAGGCACGACCCTCCGTCGTCAAGACCTTCTCCTGCTCAGGCAAATGTAACACGCACCCGCACACTGCAACGTACACTGCAATACACACCCGCACACTGTAACACACACTCGTCTGCTGGGATCCCGTACTCGTCTGCACACACGTTCCGTTTTCCTTCAGCGAGGGTATATGCGTTAGTCAAACTTGGGAACGAGTACCACCTGGGCCCTTTGTCGGTTGTGGAGCGGTTCATGACCGAGCATGACCAGGTGCAGATCCTTGTCGTTCTAATAACTTTGGGAGACGGGCTCCACGTCCAGTCTTACTTGCAGTATTTGGTCTCACAAGACCCCGGCGGCGGGCGCAGTTGCAGGACACAAGTTTCCATCTCCAAAGCGGACCCCGTATGGGTCGTGGCGCGGTCCTTATCGGAGGTGCCACTGACTGAGGACGATGAACTCAAGATTGGTCGTTGCTGCTTCGTGCTTCGCAAGATCGTGCTGGACGAGGGCAGTACGTCGGAACCAGTTGACGGTTTGCCCGAGAGTGTACGCACGTGTGTGCAGACGGATGCGCAACCGCTGGAACCGGTGGCTCCGGTTCCGGTAGCGACCCCGGTCGGATTGGAGTTGGTATGCCCAGGACTCGAGTTACCGACTCCACGTCTGGCAGCGATGGACCTGCGACCAACAGAGGCTGTGGCGGGAGAGGAGGTCGTTCCAGGCAGAGTCTCTGACTGGGAGAATTTGACGTTGCAGGAATTGTTAACAAGAGACTGGGGAGCGGTTTCGGCGACGGCTGCGTCGTGCCGCATTTGTCTGAATGGGCCGGAAGCGGAGAGTTTGATCAGTCCATGTGTGTGCAGGGGTTCGCTTCAGTGGGTGCATTTGAGCTGTCTCCGAACTTGGCTGCGAGGACGGTTGGAGTCGCGACAGTCACGAGCGGGTTTGTCCCGAGGTCGTTGTGCTTACTGGGAGGCGCTGGATTGCGAACTGTGTAAGACAATGTACCCTAGCCATGTCTGCGTCCGAACACGGAATCCCGAGGACTTGCCGGGCGTCGAACCCGGGGCTGATGCTCTCGAGTGGAAACAACACGTTTCCGATCTGGACCGCATCCTCGCACGCAGCCGCTCCACCCTCGTCCGCGAACACCTCCAATCAACTGACGACGGAGACGTCCAGGAATTAGTCAACGTACCCCGACCCAAGATACCTTTCATTGTGCTCCAAGAAGTACCCAACCGGGGCAGCGATGGGAACGGCGATGGGAACGGCGATGGGAACGGCGATGGGAACCGCGAAGGAGCCGGGAGCCCTGGCGGCGAACAGATACCCTCTGTGAACGGAGTTACGGACCCTGACGCGGAAAATGCACAGGCCGGAAATGTTCAGGGGGAAGATCGCCCAGGTGCCTTACCATGTGTAGATAACCTACGCACTGTAGGGACCCTACCCACGTTAAATCCGGACACTGGATACCCAACGCAGTTGCCTAATCCCCAGTTGCCTAGCCCCCAGTTGCCTAATCCGCAATTGGCATTGGGACCACCAATAGAGACCCTGTCACTGGGCAACTCTTTCGGGAATGCTTCAGCCTCGCTGATGTCGGATGGCAGCCTGCAGTACCCGGCGCCATATGGTCGTCCGGATGTAGAGGAGGTAGACGCCAGCCGTCGGTCATATGGCGAGCAGTCGGGCGACTGGTCGGAGGGATTGATGGCGCCTGGGCTCCCCAGTGGGCCGGGAGGAGGTCTGCATTTCGTGAACGTTCCGGCGGACGGCACACCGGTCAAGGTGGGTCGCGGACACGACGTCGATTTGCGGGTTCCGGACATTTCGGTTTCGCGGACACATCTCCTCATACGACTGAGCGACCTCGCCGACCACCGGTGCTCCCTCGCCTGGCCGCAGGTGGTCCAAACCGCCAACGGCCCGCCTCGAGACCGACAGGGACGGTGCGTCATTATTCAAGACGCTCTCTCCAAGTTCGGCACACTCGTCGCACTCCACAACCGACTTATCCTCGTCAAGAAGCAACAGATTCTCAAGTTACAAGTATGACCCACCACAGCAGACCCAGGGGGGGAGAATACCCAGGGGGGAGAATACCCAGGGGGAGAATGACCAGGGGGAGAATACCCAGGGGGAGAATACCCAGGGGGAAACACTAAGGGTGGTCAACTGAGGGTCATGGTGACTTGTCGTAGTGTGGTAACTCTGTGTTCACCATCGTGCCCAAGCGTAGCCCGTGGACGTCGCGTAGTTGGCAGTGCGGCGGGCGCCAAGGCCTACAGGTCGGAGCGACTTCAATTTTCCCCAATTATGCCACCAGTGATATTCGGGTGCTCAATATCGAGTTGTAGATAGATAGCTTTCGATGTGGGCCAGGCTTCTCAGCACGACGGGGCTTGGTGCCGCAGGGCTCAGCGTGACCAAGCTATCGGCTACGCTGCCCTACAACTCTGGCCTCGCTTATGTAGACACCAAGACGTACATATTCGGGGGTCAAACCAACGTAAGCCTTACCCCTCACCCAATGAGAGGTCATCTGTTACACACACACGATCTGTTACACACACACGATACACACACCTTCGTTCGCTGCAGACAACCGCCAGCTGTGGCGACACCTTGTTCGTTGTTACACAAGACGGATCGTCCGAATCCCAAGCCCAAGCTGGACTCAAACCTTCGCCCAGATGCGGAAGCGCGCTTGCCCCAGTAACCCCCC